TCACCTGTTAATGAAAAAGAAATTTAATGCTACACGGGAAGAGTTTCCCAAAGGATTAATAACCTTTTCAAAAACCTTTAAAGTGAAGCAGCAGGCGAAATCACCATCAAGTTAAAGCCCTTGTTAGTGACAACAGTCATCACCACATGGAGAACAGTTTTATCCCATAACCTCATGGCAGGAAACCACAACTCCCTAGTATGCCGAGGAAATGCATATTACAAAGTGGAATGATTAACACGGCACCAGTTGTTGTGTAAAGAGTTACATATTCCGAGTACTTTAATAGAAACCTAGAAAAAGGTATTGTTACAAAAATCGTATGTTTCACTGGGAACGTATCTGGTGCATTCTTAAACAAAGGTAATAATCTTTTAATATTTTCTGGCAGTATGGTACCATGGTGCATTAGTAGCATATTGTGAATAGTCAAAGCAAATGAATGGATACAATGAGTTTTACAGCTCGCCTTCCAGAAGTGAAAGCAATGCATACACCAAGGAGTTGTGGGTAGCAAGAAAATGAGATTGTCCTGCTGATTGGATGCAGACAAGCAATGAGTAATTCAAGAGCTCACAGTCAAACAAACTGCTTGTGGCACTACTACTTGTACCCAATTACCAATTCAGAGAGAAAATAAAAAGCAGTTTCAGTAGAGTCAGGGTGGGAAATCTCCAATTAGCACCAATTAGTGAAGTTGCTTCCTACAGCGGAATTCTGGGGACATAAGAAAAAAAAAATAATCTCCCAGAATGCCTGGTTGGAGCATTTATTTACCAGGTGATGGGACTCCTGAAGAATAACTTGATGAGGATTTGCGCCTGTGGGACTTGAATACAGATACTACTTGGAACTTGCCTGCTCGATTTGACTGGTCAATCATAGGCTGTACTATTCTTCTTCTGGCATTAATAAACCTGCAACAGAATACAAAGAATAGAAGTCCTTTCATCAGCTTGCTTCTGTGTTTTGAGAACACCTCTGCTTTAAAACGGACAGGATTTTAGCGTGGTGCGGCAACGTGTTTTGCTTCGCGGTGCTTTTTTAAAAGAGTATAATTTCACTTTAAAGGATTTTCCCCTAAGTGCTCAGAAATTGTAACCAGTAACACGCTTATCTGACTGGCCAGCTTAAAGCTGGATTTGCCAGAAGGCTCTGAACAAGTAAATGCGCCCGAAAACTTGTGTTAAAAGACAATTGTTTCTTTAACTTCTCCGAGTGGCTCGGAACATGGTTAAAGTTCACAGGCTGGGAGACTTTTTTTTTCCCCCCCCGCCCTTTCCATCCTCGGGTTCCAGCTCCCCTTGCAGCTGGCCATAAATGAGGACCAGGCTTTGCCACTCGGTGCTTTCACAAGGTACCGGTAGGTCAGCAAAGCCATCAATTAGGCTGTCTGAAGTTTTATCACCAGCGCAGCGGCAATAAGTGCCGGCCCAGAAAGACTTCTGCTCTTGTGCGGCTCCCGGGGTGGGAGCCCGCGGAGGCGGGGGTCGTGGGCAGGTCAGTGCCAGCTGGGGACGACCTCTGCGGCCGGCAGCGGGGACACCCGGCGCAGGGCCACCTCCCGCCCTACACGCAGGCACCTTTCAACTCCTTAGAAACCCCCAGCCACAGGTACATGTGGTTAATATTAGGCCCAAAATAGCCTTTTTTTTTTTTCTTTTTATCATCTCAAGCCGGGGCAGTCGCCGAGGCTTTTGAGCGCTGGTAAAGGCAGTTAGTTGCCTGTGGAGCCTGGATTTAATTTGGCTGGTAATCCAAAAATAAGTGCTTGCATATTTCTTATTAGCTTAATGCGCAGCGATCCACATCGGCACAAGCTAAGCCAAATTAATTTCCCTAAAATAATTTTAAAACTTGCCTATTCACGGAGTTTCTTTCAAAACAGGGCAATTTTCTATCACTCAGGAGCCACGCTTGTTTTTGTCCCCCCTCTTTGTGTTTGAGAACACTTCGGAGCCTTCGCGCAGGTTTTGTGTGCTATTTCACAGCTCGGGCTTTCGGCTGGTGACCCTTAAGGAGTGCTAATGAAGTCGAATACTAGTGTTTAATCCTCTTCAGAAATACTAACATGCCCATCATCCAAACCGGCCTCCAATAATTGCCATTGGGCCCGATCCAACGCCTAGCGAAGTCTTTCAGTCAGTTAACTGAAAACTAAGTTCATCTGCTCATTTAGCAAATTGCTAGCCTTTATATAGCATCAACTCTGCAAGGCCTTTTGTCGCGCTTCCCTCCCTCCTTCCCTCCCTCCCTCCCGCCCCCCGGTTAAATTCCTCCGCAGATAATAAAAGACGGTGGCACACCTTCGATTGCATCTTCCCTAATCACAGTCGTGGAAATTTCATTAGACAGATGCATAAATGCTACAAGTAACACTAAAGGGCTCTTTTGCATCTCTCTGTTTACATCCAAAAGACATTCTTTATTCTTTAGGAAAAGTATAATTCAGTTGTCAGAAATGTCATCCTGCCTCAGAATTAGTCATGACTTCAGGTATTGAAATAAAAACTCAGACACAGTCGATGTACTTGTTTATTCCCTTCTGACTGCGGCGCAGCCGAGGCTTCTCCTACCCCAGCGCTGCGATTTCGAGGTGTGTTTCCGTCCTCAAAGACAAAGGTCCCCGATAGGACTTAATTTGCTGAGCTGCTTTCCAGCAACCTTCCCGCACTGACCAAATGGAGCCTGACCTGAACCTCCTCCATCCAGCCCGCCTTTTATCAGCTAAAGTTAAGGCCAATAGAGATTAACAGGAAAGCCTGATAAGACTGTTTTCTCTTCTCCTATGAGCTTCTAATGGTGTATACAGATGGCAAGGTTTTAAAGAATGGAATGAACGCTTATTTAGGCCTGTAAAAAATCACAGACAACAGAAACATCCCCCCCACACACACACGCTTTCCGTCTTTCTAACCCCTTTTCTTCAATCAGGCCACTCTTCAGGGAAACCAAATTGCTTTTTCGTTTCTTATTTAAACCCCAACCACTTTTATTATTTACATCTGGTGGTCCCCTTATTTATGTCCCTCTCCACTTCCCTGCACACACACCCCGGCTCACAGGGCTGCGAAGCATTATGGGCCCTGGCTCTCAGCGGGAGAACTCGACACTGTCTTCAAACAAATAATTAAGGGGAAGGTTAAAGGTTCACCCAGAGGTCATATCTTTGGATACTCCTCAGAAAGTTTACATTAGCAAGAAATGGGTGCCCTCTGAAGTGTTCTTTCAATGGGCTCGCACAACAAGGCAGAGCATTAAGAAAATTCTAAGTCCTGGAGGGTTTCAGGTGACAACTGCTTTACATCCACGAGTGGTGGAGAGGGACACTCTGCTCCAGCCTCTCTCCTTCAGCAGCCACCACAGAGTGCACTTCTGGGACGGGTGCTGAAAACCCAATCTTGCCCAGCCATTCACTCCCAAAAGAGCTTGGCCTTATTTCATCCCACGGATGTGAATAAAGCCAGCCTTTCACTCTGAACTCTACGTGGAGGCAATTCACTACTTGTTTTGGAAATGAGAGTTAAAGCCCTAATAGTGAGTCCCCCAATCTTTGTCTCCCTACAGAAAAAAAAAAAAAAAAAAAGAGCAATAAAAATGAGGACGTTTGTCCAGTAAATCTTGCAAAGAAAAATGCACGGGTTTGATTTCTGATTTCATTATTTCTCCATTTTTCTTTTGCACATGTGCATAACCGCAGGTGCAAATGATGTCCTCTAGACCAGCAACACTTTCTCTGAAGAGAAGACTCACTGTCATATACTGAGAAAGATAGAGGAGCACAGAGGCTTTAGGCACCCAGATCATTTTGAAATTCCATTTCTACGGCTCCTCTGAAAAATCCTGTCCATGAGTGGCATCAGTTATACCCACCAGTGGGTATGTCTGAAAAATTACATATGAAATTATTTATATTAGCAGAATCGCAGGTGCAAAACAGACATACATTTCAGGTGAAGCTAAAAATCAGATCCGAGTTTCATTAGCAGTAGCTCCATCACATAATGCATCAGCACAATTGGTAGACAAGGGCACAGAATGCAGTGTTTGTGGATTATTATTTATTCTTTATACTGCCCCATAAATATGCACACTGCATAATAGAGATGTAGAAACCATAGTCCCTGCCCTAGCCTGCGCATTTTTTGAGGGCTCTTTTTTGAATCCTTCAGGGAGTCATCTCCAGGGCCAAAGTAAAGCAAAATACAGCCTTTTGCACAGCACTTCAGTTCCCGTGTCGCAGAAACACTGTGATGTTATTTTGGCACAAATGTCTTAAAAAGGCCTTAAAAGACAGGTGAAAAAAGAGAACACCAATGCCACTACTTCCAGCATTATCTGGAACCCCATAAAAGAAGAATTCACAGCTCTGTTCCTGACACTAATTGCCTGCCTTGTTCATACCCTTCACCCAGAGGCCAAAGATTGAATGGCCTGAAAAGATGAGTAAAATCTATCAACAAGACACAGATTTCTTTGTTACTCTTCTGTTAATAGTAATTCCTATTATTTGGAGGGTAGCAGCAGTGAGAGGACCCGGTGAAGCTCAGTCTCACTCCACCCCATGCTGCACACGCACAACCGTCCAAGAGAACTCAGGGTCTGAACAGATTTCCAGGCAAAGCCTGGGGGAGAGGAGAGACGCCTTCTCCCTGTTTGCGCAGGGGAAGGGAGACAGAAGGAGATTAAGTGACAAGGCCAAAGTCGTACAAGAGATCTTTGGCAGAGCCACACACCCAACATAGATTTCCTCAGTCCTCTTTCAGCGCTCCCACAATCTGCTATCCATATGCTATCTTTCCTTTGTTCCCCCAGCTCGGCAGCCAGGCACACTGGCAGGGGACCGCAGAGAGAGCTCACATTGCCACTGTTTGTGCCTTACCTGCTGTGTAGATAAAGAGGGGTCATCAGCCTCCAGGGCTGTGAGGCGATACCTTCACAAACTCTACATTCATATGGTACTCGGTCCTCATTCCAGAATGATAAATGAGGTGTGTAATGTTGAGAAATACATGTCATTGACATAGTGCGTTTAATGAAAATCGCACTTCCAGCATTTTGCAAATGACAGATTACCGACCTCGCTTATTCAAACAATAGCCGTTTGAATCGAAAGAAGCTTTTTTCCATCTTGTATTTTTCTGTAATCGCTACCTAAAGCAGCCATGTATATTTCCTATAGCCAGAGTCTGTCTTTCTCACGCAAGTAGTTCCAGTAACTTTTGTGGGACAATTTCTGAAACCACGATGAACAAGATTTGGCTCGAAACACGCAACAATATGGACTCTCAAAAGAACATATTTTATTTTTATCTGCTTCCCGCAAAAAACAGTAGAGCAGTAAAGGTGTACTAGTGAATATGCAATGTAGTCTGGTGATTTGGTAGCCCTAGTCCTAATTGGTTCTTACCACTGCTAATTATCATGACAATATAATCTAAATATATGCATTTAATTACATCTCTTCAAATAGAGCCTTGGTTTTCTTTGTCCAAAATAAACATGTATTCTGTATTTTACAGAGATCCTGCAATTAATCTTTATATATCTATCATATTTTATCTCGTCATATCAAATGACGTTAAACTCACATTTACATAATACATTTTATTTTTATAATAAATAATGTTCAGATAAAATCGCAGAGAGATATTTCTGCAAAGTGCGAAAGAGAACATACAGCAAATAGAGATCTCTTACTCTGCTTGCTCAAGTCTGGCACATTCAAAAATAATTTTGTTGTTGTTTCCACTGTCTTTTTTATACGTGCTGTATGTGTATTTCAAAACACTGTGACCACTCCACAACTGAATGTGAGTAAGATTAGCTCTTGATATGAACTGTTAGTGGCTGCACTGATTGGTAATCAGAATTAGAAACATCTCCAGCTTTACTCTATGGCTACCATGGAAAATCC